ATCATCAGTTTGTATCAGTTTGTATCAGTTTGTATCAGTTTGTATCAGTTTGTATCAGTTTGTATCAGTTTGTATCAGTTTACATCAGTTTGTATCAGTTTGTATCAGTTTGTATCAGTTTGTATCAGTTTGTATCAGTTTGTATCAGTTTGTATCAGTTTTTATCAGTTTCTATCAGTTTGTATCAGTTCTCCACGCTGTTCTCTTTACATTTTCTTTAGTTCTAACAGAGATGTTTTTCACAATCAGGAGCCTCACAAAATTGGCGTTCATTTCCATTGTTCTCATGGCCGTTATACTTGATTCAAGGGTGATAAGGAGAAAGGAGAAAGAAGAAATCAGAATCCAGTCGTTCTTAGGGAGTTGAAAAGGTTAATCTGGGTCTATGTCTTAACTTATCGGAAAGGTAGGCGTTCATGAATATCTTGGACAGGCAAAAATTATTTGTAAATGCGATCGGTCGCTAAACAAGGGATGGCAACGCCAAGGAAGACGTCGATTAAAAAAAATGAATTTACATGCATTTTTATATAGAATTTTGCTAATGGCTGGAGGTGTTTACCGTCTCTTACGGCACTACACCTCGACTTCAGCAAAATGCATGTGAAAAGCGTCGAGTTATAAAATAGAAACTTTAATAATTTGTCATCGGTTTTTCTGTTCTCAGGCCTCTCACATATCGGTGATTATACGTCGTTGTTTTGCAGAGGACGGCGTACAAAAGTTTAAAACGCATGTGCAGCTGCAGGCTATTGTGTTCTGCCCATTAGATCTTTAAAAGATGAAAAAAAAAAAAAGTGTTCTTGTTCCAATTCGGAAAAGGAAAATAATCATACAAAAGATGTCAATGAAACCAAGCCCTGGCTTGTCACGATGATTAGTTTATTTAAATTTCGGTAAAAAAGAAAAAATATATATTTGCAACATTATGCAACCCGAGTGTTATGAAATGTTGGGCACGAATATTTAATCATTAAAATGCAATTTTTAAACAAACACAGGCTGTTGCCTTGTGTGATACCTGGGGATATTCAGTCAGACCATGGGCCTTCTTTTTATTCTTAACCACTCTGTTTAGGAAGTGAGGTCCTACAAGCAAGGGCCTGGGATCGTAAGACCACCAGGAACCCTAAAAATTTCTATAAGAAGTGTTAACGCGCACGAACCGGATTAACTGTTGCGGGGAAGAAGTAACATGAAATAAGCGAGAACCGCAACTTCATTCAGAATCCTGATTGATTTGTTATGAAGCCGACATTTTGTTTTTAATTTTATCTCCTGTTCTTGAACTCTTTTGCAAATAAAAAAGATAATGTTAAGTTACGTGGAGTTTGCATTTTCTCCGGTATTTCAGTCTTGAAAACAGTACGACCTTGACACTTAAGTTTGCGAGATTTCGTTTTAACTATTTACAAATAAAATGATGATAATTTTAATAATTTTATTATTTCTAGAGCGCAAAATTCATTAGATATATGATCATGTTTTGATATATTTATCACATTACTATACGGTAAAAAAAAAATTAAATTCTTGAAATGAAATTGTTCCCTTCCACTTGTTGTGTATGTGTAAGTTGTCATACAGTAGCCAAAGCATTTTTCGCCAAGTGCTTGCTCATCCATTCTAAATACGAACAGTCCGGGAGCTTCTTGCGATTATACGCCTCGCTGTAAACTGTTGCACCATCCATCTTTTCGTGTGATTTTTCAAACCTCTCTTCTGGTTTGATACAAGTGCGCGGCCGTCCACCTTCAGCCCCCTTAAAATCTTGCGTTGTCACTGATCCGTCTGTACAGAATTTCACAAGAGGCTTGCGGTAAAAGTTCGTCTCGTGGAAATCCCCGTAGCGGATGTAAGGAACTTTGCTGTATGGTTTGAACTGGGCGTTGTAGGCTGTTTCGTCGAAGAATTTCGCTTTATTTGGCTCGATTTTGGAGGGTGGCCTTATCTTCGTGACTTTTACGGGTTCTTTTTCTTTGAAATCTTCTTTGGTAATGGTGGTGGTTGCAAATTTCGTTTCGGGTGGTACATACTCGTCGCTATCTGGCTTCAGAGTCTTCGTGCGTTCAATTTTCCTCGGATCCCACGTGATCTTGTAAAAGCTATTATTGGTTGTTTCAAAATCACGTCCCTTGTCCATGGCCAATCGGAGAGTGGCGGGTGGTGGTGTAACAGGTTTCGGTGGCAATGGCATTTTCGCGCCAAAACCTGGGAAGTCACTCTTAGCTTGAGTTTCGCTCTGAAACTTAGCGCGTTTTTGGGTCTTCAGCGTCGGCTGACGAACGGTCATTTCCGGCCTGGCGTCTTTCGTTGGCGTCTTGTAAGCATCCCTATGAACTGTTTGTAAGAGGTGGTCGCCTTCAATACCAATGGTCACTTGCGCTCCCTGAGGCTTGAAGGCGTCGGGACGCGCCGCAAATTTACCACGGTAGACGTCTTGATTCCAGGTTTTGACGTCATATCTTTCGTTTTTCTCAGGATACAGGATTCCCCCTGTGTAACAAGGTAGTTCACCATACGGTGCTTGTAGGATGGGCACTTTGGGTGTGAACGTTTGATTGTGAGTGGTGGCCGACTGAAATTTTAGTCCCTGATTTTGCGTGACTGTTCTTGGTCGTGTTATCTTCACCATCTCTGGAGGGCCACGGTTCACGAACTCTTGCGCATAGATTGTCTTTCCATCCAGTTTCTCGTCAGATGGCTTGTATTCATCCGCCATCTGTAGAAAATAAGGAGAATTGATGAAGAAGCCCCCGGCGCTTGAATTGCGTCTAGTGGTATAACGTAAGAAAAATTCCAGACAACCCAAAGAACTCAGTAACTCATTACAGTGTGGAATGTGTTCCGGGCGCTCGGTGAAAAACGGAATTCGGAAGTAACACGCGCCTGAGGAAGCATATACGGAGCCGCGTGTGAATTCTCATTCACGCGACACAGTAGCAAAATGAGTGCTCAACCTCTGCGGATTTGGCGCACTCGAGGAGCGTTTTGTGATTTAGGCATGAACGAGTTTCGTCGAGGAAAGAACAGAACATCGTTTTACCCTTTTTGGACTGGACTTTGTTTCTGTGCAAAGGTCTGAAGGGTAAGTAGCATTCTTTTAATTAAAGTTCAACTGTTTTAAGTTTATCCGGACAGCTTAGGCAATAAAAGTCGCTACGAACTTCGTAGCCATGTTACGAAGGTTCTGCTTCAGTCCCTAAATTCACACCCGTTATTGTAACTTTGTTTTTGTTCAGTGAGATATGTGACGAAAGAGGTTCCACAGAAATTTTCCACAACTCGGCAACCTTGTTTGTTTTGGTTTGCGCATATCCCCGCAAAATGAAAACAAACAATAGAAGTTTAAAGTGTCGCCATTTTTCGGCAGTGGTGTTACTATGGAAATGCTGTCGTCCCCATTCCTTTCGCGCGTAAAATTTCTCGCGCGTTACAAGCATGCACACTCATTTTGCTGCTGTGTCCATTCACAACCGATTTTATCTAAGTTCTTAGTCGTGCGTCTGGCTCAAATCGCCCGCTTGCTTTTGGTCGTGTCATTTTTGCATTTACACCATAGCTAAGACTTCATCATAATGTACAGGAACATGGTTAACACCCCTTGTTACCTTACAGCTTCCTTGAGGTTCAGATTTCCTGGGGATAAACTCCATTCTCTGTACCGTTCTGAAGTCCATGGGGGGAGGTTTAGGGTTCCTCAGGCGCGGGAGTGGCTTTCTTGTATTGCGAGGTTTAGCTCCATCGTGTGAAGTGTAGGTGTTTTGATAGTTAGTTTTAGCTTCTGCCAGTCCTGGTCGCTTAAATACTGATTTCATTTTCTGTGGTTCCTTTGTGCAGCCAATGTGAGGATGGTATCCGCTGAAGATGCAAAAAAAAAAAAAAAAAAAAAAACAAAACAAAACAAAAAGAGAGAAATAAAGGACCAGTTATTATTTATCACTTGGGGCTTTGGAGGATTTGTTTGGAGGGGATCACATGGTTTTCAGCTGGAACGGAGGGGGGGGAGGGGGCGTCAATCGTCGCCAACAGACTATAAAGGGAGGGCCTGACCATAGAATTTGACTGCCAATCTCTGCCAAGGAAGGGATCATAACAATATTATCGTGCCTTATGAGGGAATCAGTAAATTTTACAAGTGACTTAACCAAAATACCCCCCACCCCGTTCACCCC